GAGTGTCCTGTGCTGAGTTTAGAGTCTAGTGTGGCTTGCAGAATGTGTGCTGTTTAGACATTACAGAGGAAACAGTGTCAGGGAGATGATCCGATCAGGCTTTCGAGTGCTTGGAGTTGCTGTGCAATATGTGAGTGTTATTATTAAACCACAGATTAGTTCAGTTCCTTCCCTGTTCTCCATGATGTCAGCCAGCACACCCTCTCCAGTCTTGCAGTCTGTTAGAGGATCTGGCCTGGAGATGGGGGAACGAAAGTGAGCTTGAGCTGCAGTCTCATGGAAGTGAATCTAACTGCACTTCCAACAGTACAGCTCATTTCCAGCTCGTTATTTTGGATACAGATTAAGATTCAAAACAAGTTGCTTTTCCAGCAAATAGCTGGTGACACAAACGTTGAGTGCAGTTTGCACACCCATCACACTAAGCTGTGCGCATCAAAACCTTTGAAATGAAAGCTCTTTCAGGCAGGGCTGTCTTATTTAGCCATAGTCACATACTGTATTTATCAACTCAGCATGTCTTCCACAGCAAGTGTGCAATCTCCCTCCCCTCCATTCCATGGGGGTTTTCTGTGTAATAAATCTCATCCTGCATGCACGATTGTTTTCAAAATGAGTCTCTCCTGTGGGGGCTGGCAGGAGGGTCTCTGCAGAGGGGGCAGCACGCTCTCCCAGCCTTCGCGAGATTGGCGGGAAGAGGCAGGCGAGGGGCCCGGCGTGACTCCACAAACACAGGGCTCGTTAGAGCGGCCTGCTCGTCCGTCAGGAGGCACACCGCACTCGAAAGGAGCATTCCTCTCCATTAGGACAGCAATTAGCAGCGGAGGCCTCGCTCTCAAGAAGACGATTGGAAATAAGCCCTCCTGAGCCAGATCTTCTCCACCTGTGAGCAATGAAGACGTGAGAGAGAGAGAAAAGGGGTCACAGTTATGAATCTGTGGGAGCCCCTCTTTCTCACCTGCTCAAAGCTGCTGCTACAGCGCCAGCTACCGGTGCTCTCCATCAGTTCCAGACTGTCAGCCAAGACATGGTTGGCTGACCTTTGTCCACAAGCCCTACCAAAGAGAAACAATGCCCTCCTTCCTTGCGGTACTAAACAACATGCCCGAGGTCACGGTTCTGCAAAAATGGGACAATGTTCTTCCCTGAAAGCACCACCTAGATCATCTCTGCAAAACTAAAAATTAAGGATTTGTCTTTGTCCCATCATTGCTTGTGACATTATTTTCTAATTATCTTCAGACTTCACTGGTTATTTATATGAAGGTTTTGAGACATGGGCTCGGTTGTAAAAAGAAAAGGAGAAATGCCCTGTAAAAACACGAGGACATGGTAACAGCACTAAAGATTTTATTGGAGAGCACGTACATATAATCCACATTAAAACCAGAATTTTAAAGATCACACGGAAGCCAAGAAGGAGGTGATCTCTGTGCTGGAGAGGTTATGCCAGCTGCTCATTCTCCTCATTGTGAGCATATAGAGAAATCTATTGACTACGTGCCTGTGCCTGCAACACCAAACCCTCTGGCGATGGCAAAGCACTCTGGCTAGTTTTACAACAAAGCCCTTGGAAGACCCGTGCTGCCAAAAACTCTCACCTCTGGCCTCAGTCTGGCACCAAAACAGATGGATCTTTTGACAGAAATGGGCTTGTATTTTAACACACCGATGAAGCATAGAGAACTCACTTGTGTTTATTAAACAGGCTTTTTCATTTACGCGCATACAACTTCAAAATTTAAGAACCCCTGTGTTGCACCAAGTTAACTTTTTATCTCAAGGTGTGATGTTTGGTCCTAGATAGACAGATAGTAAAAACATGTTCCGACTGCACATTTAATTAGAGCACTGCAGATCTTTTTCAAAATGACAAACAGACGCTAAAGTAGGAATGTGTAAGTGGGAGAGAGAGAGTCTTTGACGTCTTGTGTGGGACTGAGCTTTGCTGGGGTCTGTGTGGAACAGCGCTGTGTGCCCGGCTCCTGTCTTCACTAGGCGTACCTGTCTGCTGCCCACATGCCACCTGCTCGCGTGTGCCAGGCCTAAGTGTGTGTGGAAGGCCATGGCTGTGGTATTGCTGCAGCCTCAAGTGCTAGAGCTGGAGCTGGCAGAGACAGGAACACAGAGCGAAGCGTGAAGAGGCTCGTACTGCCAGGCAGCGGAAGTCTGCCTCGGTGTGAAGCTCACTTGCTTTTTATGCAATCCTACGCCCTCTCGTTTCGTGAGCAGCCAGGATGCAGAACGTTCTGGACACTTTCGCAGCCGTCTTAGGAAAGATCTCTTTTGGCATCTTGGCGCAGAGAGGTTCTCATATCTCAGAGCGTACAGAAAGGAAATCCGGCTTTTTCCCAGGACAGGGGCAGGGGGCATGAGGGAGACTGAAACAGGTGCTGTATACTGCGCGTGGATGCTACACAAACGAGCAGGCATGACTGGACACCTGGCACATCAGCTGCCCACTGCAGCTCAGTCTCGCTTGGTTGACTGTAAAGTAATAAAAACTCTGAGATTTCAGTAGTACTTGGAATGTGGTTGGTATATTCAATTCAATAAAAAGTATGATGCCCCTCCTGAAGCATCAGTACTCTTATCAATTTCCAAACAGCATTTAGGCTCCTAAAGACACCAGGACCGTCCGTGTGCAGTTTCACACTGTTAACGACCTGTGGAAGCTGTGGAATAGAGGAGATTAGAAAAGATCAGCACCCACAGCTCCTCTATTTGGAATAGGAGGCCATGAACAGGAACGCTGTGGTTGTGCTCAGCTGGTAAATGATGGCGGTGTTAAGCAGCTACTAGAGAGCTTTTATTTTTCCCTCCTGTTGCTGTTATTTTGTGGTTTGGACGAATGCTGCAAACCAAAATAAACAATTGCTGTTAATCGGTTATTAATATTATATGATATTAGATTAATCAATTATTAATATAACATGAATATATTCTCTCATTCCAGCAAGCTGCCCAGCTGGGCTAGGGCAGTCGTCCCGAAAATCTTCTATGTGACTGAAAAAGCATGGAACTACTACCCCTATACAATCACAGGTAATTATACAAGGATCCTGTGTACAGGAACTGTGCAACCTCTTCCCTATGTAGAAGCATTGCGTTACAATCAGGCATTCAGAAAAAAAGGGAGAGCTTGGACTGGGCTCCTAAGGTGTGAAGGAGAACACAAACCAGAGGAAGACTGCTATTGCAGAGGGACACCCTCCCTCCCACTGCAAGATTCTTCAGCGATGGTGTCGGAAAACAAAATGCATGCTGTATGAGGACCTCATCGATCAAATATTTTTTAAATGAATTTAAAAGGATGGAGCAAGGCAGAAAATGTGTTAAAATGCTGCATTGAGCGTTTAAAAACAATTGGCGGGTGCGTGGAGACTGAGCAGTATCTGGTATTGGTTTAGTTCCTTTTCCATGTAATTGGAACAGCATCTCATCCCTGGCCTTTAGCTACAGTGGGGAATAACAGGAAGCACTGGCTTTGAAGGGGCTTGAGATAATTACATTGCAGGACAGCAGTGTTTCACGGGGTCACTCCAGAGGTGGGTTGATTTGTGTGGTTGACATTTCTATTTGTTATCTGGGTAGCAGGATCCATTTACCAGAAGCAAGAACTAATGCTGATGCGAGAATGCTAATTTAGTTTAAAAACCGCCGGGCCCCTCTGGTGGGCCGTGACCCCGGGGCAGCGCTCATTGAGGGATTTTGAATGGGCAGAGCCGACCCCTGACAGTGTAGAGGTCAGCTGTGTTTTCTGGCTCGTTCATTTCCTGTTTGAATATTTTCCGTTCCACTGTTTAAGCTGTGCTGTAATTGCTCCCAAGCACTGACATGTGTTCTTTCTAATTTTTCCTTCCCATCATCAATCCTGATCCTGGATCAGAGTACACAGTGAGTACCTCGTTTGCTTTCTTATTGATTGCTCAGCGGCTTAATTGGAACCCCAAGTGTTGTACAAATTTGCTGCTCTTCCTCACGATCAGTCACAGATTTGAAGCACTTCATCAGGCAAAAGAATAAAGCAAATTTAGTCTTTTAAATTGATTTTCTCATGTAATGTGCCACCCAGACTCTGTTTACTTAGTTGACAAAAGTTTCTCCGTTCTGAGTGCATTATGGGAGAGAAAAGCCAAAATCTCACTGAGGAGTTGGGAAATCACTGACCAGTAACGCAATTCTTCCAGACTGGAGCTGCTCTGTTGGGAACTCTGCTTGAATACCTAATTATTCTTAGAATATAATGAAGTGTTATAAAGTGTTGTTGTTGTTGTTGTTATTATTATTGTTAGTGGTTGTAGTTTGTGTGTGAAAGCTCTTAGCTAACTCCCATGCATTGCTTTGAATTTTAAACCCTTTGCCTGTTTCTTTTTTTAAGGTCCTATACATTTTTAACTTCAGCTTTATCAAAACAAACAGCTCATTTCAGCTTTACGAGGCTGCTTGAAGTGAGCTGGAAAGGCCTCCGGTAATAAAGCAGAGGCACGCTCCTGAAGCTCTGTCCAGGACCGCCGTTCTAAAACCTCATTAATATCGCTTCTTCTCATTCAAATTACGAGCGAGGAGAATAGCCAAGACTCGCCCTCAGCTGTAGAGAATCCATCTGCTGATGTGTTTAAGCTACGTTATTAATAATTGATTCTGACATTTTGTCGTGAGCAACGAGAAGAATAACCGTTGCAGCTCCGGCCACTCCATTGCGTAGCTGTTCTGGAATAGCAGCACAGAGACACAGATTGAGAGGACTGGACAGACGGGGACAGACAGGGACAGACAGGGACAGAAGGGCCAGGCTGTCGTATTCACTTTCTGATAAACAGGCAAAGGGGCTTCGGATATCCAGCACAACTTGCCAGGAATTCACGGGAAAAGAAAAATCTGCTATTTGTCTTAGACTGTGGATTTTTGTCATCTTTTGTCACGAGTTTACAAACGCTCTTTTAGGTACAGCTTTATTACGATGATGTCCTTCATAATGGTAAAATAACAGAGAGGTATCAAACACATGATATCTGATCAAAACACAGTGAAAGACCACAGAGGAACTGTCTGTGTGTCGGGCAGTGGCTTACAGTGATGACCCTAGGAGAGAAAAAAAAAATAAAAGATCATTTCCCCCTTCCCTCCCTTCTGAACACCCCGTGAATCTCACAAAGTGATGAGCGATACTCTCAATCCTACGGGTTACGGTTGCAGTCGGCTATTCCGCCCACTTCCCTGTGCTTACTCCGGCTGTCCAAAGACCTGCTGTCCATGCAAGCCATAAAAAAGACCAAAACACCAGCACACAGCCTGCCGGGCTGCCTGGATTCATTCCCCCGGCGCAGTCGTGTTCTGCAGCTCATTTCGCTGCTCTCCAGACAGCTTTGCAGAGGCTTGAAACTTATTCAAAGGCTGTACAGCATGAGGATGCATCTCTGCTAGATGGTGAAGTACTGCCAGTTTTTGTGTGCGTCTTGTACAAGTTCACAGAAGCCCCTCGCGATGGGACAGAAGCCGATAGCTGCTTCAGTAAAGGTATTTCGACACGTAATGTCCCGTCCTGCCGAGGCCGCTGCTGGCAGGTTCCCAGATTCCCTCTCCTCGCTATCCTGCTCACGCTCATTCCCGAGGAGGTGCGGCCCGGCCTGCGCTGGGGCAGGGCCCCGGAGAGACAGTGCTGTTTTTGTGTCCACGAGCTGGGCCTCTGCCCAGGGGTTTTGGCTGGTGTTTAGAGTCTGTGGTGAACAGAACTGCCTTTGCTGCAGCTGAGTTCTGAATGCTGCCTGGGAAGCCCCAGTGGCCTTCATCCGCTCCAGGCTCTTTCACCTCTGCCCTCGTCTAGTTAGGCGGCTGCAGCCACAGCCCACCGCTGTCTGGCTGCAGGGGCAGCAGGAACATGCCCAGCACTTCTCGGCTTTTCATGTCTTTTCAGTGTGCCAGTGTCCTGGCAGCACAGGTTTGCATCTGCGGTTCTCACGGCATGCTCACGTGTTCTAGCAGCTTGCGATCATTGCAGAGAATGGCGGAGGGGAAAAACACGCCTGCATCAGAGGCTCAAAGACCTGTGTGTATAGTTTTGTTATTGCATTTTACAAGCTTGAGGACACTCAATTTCCTATTAAGGTCAATATAGCAACAGTGTCCTGATGCACAAGCATCAGGGAATGGTGTCAGGTCCGGGATTAGGTCACTGCTTTACAGAAACGGTGATTCTTCCTCTGTGTGGTTTATATTAAGGGGCAGGAGAGGTGACTCTATTGGTCTTTACAGGCTGTTGCTTAATCTTCAGCAGAACGCAGGTGCACAATGTTGACACACACTCATCACTCTTCGGCAAAGACACACTGGAAAGATTCCACCAGAAATGAACTGCTGAACGGTTCTGAAGGGCTCTCATGGCCGAAGTTTCCTTCTCTTATTTTTCAGTGTTACGGTTCTGAATCCATTACACTTCTGTTGCACAGCTTTACCTGGTAATTCTAGTCATGACACAATGAGCCAATGGATATAAAGACACAAAGAGCTCAGGACTTTGGCGTTAACTCTCGTGGGCAGGACAGTCTCAGTCGAAGATCAATCAGCACTGTCACAGCCACCCTCAAGTCTGAGGAATGAGCCAGGGAGCCACTACATGGGTGCAGCTCTGGTGAAGGGAGGGGCTTACCGTTGTGAGGAGCCAGCGAGGATTAATATGCAGGAGAGCAGCAGAGCGAGATTACAATTTGACCTCCTCCCGAGCTCCTTTACAATACCACCTCTGCACAGGCCGGGAGCCAGCAGGGATGGAAAGTGAAAAGGCTTGATTGTTTTGTGAGCAAAGGACTTGGTGATTCTTTTCGTTCCTCCCTGGCCGGCTGTCAAACGCATTCCCCCCTTCTTTTTCGTTTCACTGTTTTTCACAATGAGTCACAAAACCCTGGATCCGCCTCCTCACCCCGGTACCAAATCCCATTGGCTCATCCATCATTCCCCCTGCTCAGCCCGGAGTAACATTGAAGGTTCCCTTCCCTGCTCGTCACCCCTGATCTGAGCAGTCGTGGATTCCCTGTGACAGGCCTCTCTGCTCTCCCGCGTAATGAAAGTGGTATTGATTGTGTATGGGAGGCAGGGACTGAGGTGGGTCCGGGAGTTCAATCTATTGATCCGGGTTGAGAATAGAAAGACCTTCCAGGATGGAGGAAGAAAATAAAGCAGGGAGGTGGAAAAATGATTATAATCAGGGCTTCATTCGGCTCAGTGATTAATTTACTGCCGGGGAAGAGCAATAAAGCCATTGCTTTACAGCTCAGTTATCAGTGGGCACTGTTGGGTTTAAGTGTATTATTTCCAGACATGCTCTTCAGGTCTGTCCCCCACTTAGCTGTTTGCAGGGCAGAGTTCATTCTGCCTGGGAATTGAATGGGACTCATTAGGTCTGACGATGGGCTGTGTCCAGAGCTTTCTGCTGTAATGGATTCAGGAGGTGATAGGAAGCGCTTTGCAGTGGCTCCAATTCATTGAGGCTGCAGCAAATTAGATTATCACTATGCTGGGGCGCTCCGGCGCTACTGAAATCCCACCGGGTTCTGGAAAGCTGCGGGAGGCATAAACTCCGGTTTAAAATTCAGGAGCATCAAGCCGGACACCTTTCAGGATGCCTCTCCTCAAGGAGCACAGCAGGTCAGACAGACACAGTCACGTGAAGTGTGAAAGGGAAAGGGCTTAGTCCTCTGCCTTCGCAGAATTACATGCTGGAAAGGGCAGTCGATTGCAGAGCACACACACAGCAGCTCACCCAGCCAGCATGTCTTTGGAAAGCAGTTAGAAATCAGAGGAAACCGTATGAATACAGGGAGAACACACAAACTCCACGCATAAGGCATCCTTAGCTGGAATCGAACACAGAAGCTTCAGAGCTGTGAGGCAGCAGAGCTCACAGCTGTGCCACCGTGCCACTGGGAGAAACATGAACCCAGCGGTGAGAGCATTGCTCTGTCTCGTGTGCAGCTTCTGCTGTTATAAAGTGCTGTGAATGCATGGCAACAAATACAAGATGCTGCGAAATCTGATGTGCTTGAGTTTTGGATCGATACCTTCCTTGCATCTTCACAGACCCGCTGTGCAGATTGACCGCTTCTCTTCTGTCACTCGCTGTCATTCTTTGACTTTCATCATTTGTGGCCTTTTGTGTCTCGTTGAGCTTTTCGGTTCTGTCTGGGCTCGGCAGGATCATACCTAACAGACAGTGACATTTCTGGGAGGAGTTTTCTTTGTTGGCTCAGATCCCCTTTTTAATAGCGTTTAATTCTGTTTCTACTTTATTTCCCTAGCAATAAGGCACTCTATATCAACGAAAGTAGAAGCGGTGGTCAATGTGATAATGATTCATCTACGTGATGAATCAAACTCTCGTAATGTATTAAAATTTCATTGTAAACATAAATGTATGCATTGCATTTATGTATCTCTTTTTTGTTTCAGTGTTCATTTCTGCCAAAGTTCTCCATACATATAGAAACGAAGTATGAGGACAACAAAGGATGCAATGACCATGTGAGTACTCGTGTGGATTAGTTATATATACAGGAATGCCCACAGCTGTTCAAGTCTTAGACATCTTACAAACTAGAATTAAAATATATGTGTTTTATGAGCATCAACAGTGTACTCAGAGCCTCCACTGGTGTTTTCTGCTGTCACAGAAGCAGTCTCATATTAATACAGCTGGGATTTGGACAGAATAAACCAAGATTGTCATTCGGCATCTTTAACTCACATGGATCAGGATCTTCAGAAGCTTGACCACAGCAGCTCGAGGTGACAACACACAAGCTGTCAATACGAAGTGTCGTAAGAGCTATTCAGCACATGTACCGGTCAGGTCTGATGAACTGGTTTTCAGGTCTTCCTCATCATTAATATCATTTGTTTCTAATTACATACTTGCAAAGCTAAAAGGCTGCTGGATTAAATATCATTTTAAAGCATATTGGCTACAGATTCAGTAGAGGATCACCATTCAATTATGTTTCTGCATAATGACAGATGACTCAGACCTCTGTACAACAGTATATACAGTACAGTATATATTATACATATATATGTTTGTATGTGCCAGCAGCTGTATCACCCTGCAGCTCTCAACAGGCTGCCCCCGGAAGCTCAGCAGGTGTGAGCCTGGTCAGTACCTGGGTGAGATACCTCCTGGGAAGCTATGATTGCTGCTAGAAGTGGTGTTAGTGGGTCCAGTGGGGGGCGCCCACCCTGTGGTCTGTGTGGGTCCTAATGCCCTGGTATAGTGGCGGGGACACTATACTGTAGTGGGCGCTGTCTTTCGGATGAGACGTTAAACTGAGGTCCTGACTCTCAGTGGTCATTAAAGATCACCGGGCATCTCTAGATAAGAGTAGGGTGTTATTCTGGTGTCCAGGACAAATTCCCCCCCTCGGCCTTTACCCTGGCCTCCATACTGTCCCCATGTGTGATTGGCTTGCACCTGCCCTGCGATGGACTGGCGTCCTGTCCGGGGCGTACCCTGCCCTGCGATGGACTGGCGTCCTGTCCAGGGTGTACCCTGCCCTGCGATGGACTGGGGTCCTGTCCGGGGTGTACCCTGCCCTGCGATGGACTGGGGTCCTGTCCAGGGTGTACCCTGCCTTGCGCTCGTTGCTTGCAGGGTAGGCTCCGGCTTCCTGTGACACTGCATGGTATAAAGCGGTTTGGAAAATGACATGACATGTTTGTATGTATATGTACAGTATGTGTAATATATATATACTGTATACTTTGATGAGCTAAGGCTCCTTTCTGGCTGTGTGTTTCCCAAGACAAATGTCTTGGTGCTTTTTCATAACACAGGTGTATTTCCTTACAGCTTCATTTTAGTATTTTTCTCCACTGTTAAAAATAATATATTCTAAATGACTGTGCTTCACCCAAGCAAGAACTCCTTGATGCACTGTTACAGTTATGCACTCGGAGCTTGTTTTCCTCCTGGTTCTATTATCCACTCTCTGCCAGGCACGCACTCAAGCCCTTGAGCTGGAATCTAATATCCGTTGCAGCCTCACCAGCACAAAGCCCATCCTGGAGATTTGAAGAAGTATCTTCAGACCAGCCAAAAGGCCACTGTAGTATCCAGGTGTTATTCTTTTTAGCAGTGCTGTTTTTCAGTCTGCTCTGACAGACAGAAATGTGTTTTTTCCAGGGTCTGGCCTGTAATCAGAGCTGAAGGCATGGCCTGGGCCAAGCAAAGCTAATGTTAGGGACTCGGTATCAGTTCAGCCAGATGTATTGGTGGTTGGGGAAACTGAGTTAAAAAAAAAATCTCCTTTTCAGCTGTGCTCATCGTTTGCCGGCCTCCGCAACCAGCCTGTTGTGTTGTTCTTTAAAATTCATCCTCTTGTCCACCCCAGCAAGACACGGCATGTTAAAAAGCAATTCTTTAGCTGATAGAAAAGGATGTTCGATTTCTTGGAGGCATGACTGGAGCCTTGGTGGGCACCATGGGGGACGGCGTCCTGTCACGCTTGTAAACCCCTCCTCTTAAGGACGCTCCAGCCCTTCCCTGTTCTGTACTCATCCTCTGTTCTCATCCCCTGTACTCATCTCCAGTTCCTGCCCCCCGTCCTATAGAAACCAGACGCTCACGCTGTTCCGGGCTCTGCACTGGTTCCTGTACCAGGCGAATCCGGGACCTGGAGCGCCTGGTCCCGTCAAGGCTTTAGTTCCTGTTCCTGTCCTTGTTCCTGTGCCGGTTCCGACCCGGTTCCTGTTTTTAATCCCCTTTTGTCTTCGGCTCAGATGGACCGCCAGGCTCTGGACTTTTGTCTTGTCTCAGATTCCCCATTGGACAGTTTGCCTCGGCCACTACTCCCCCGAACACCAGCGCACCGTGGACACGCCCCCTGTTTTCCTTCCTGACCTCTGCATGCTTTTTCCCTGTGTTTTCCTCACTCATCCCCGGATTGTGTCGTCTTCATAGGGTCCAGAAAGAACGCCTTGTTACACATACAGCTTTATTCAACAGCACTTGAACTTTTACCGTCTCTAAGGCTATTGGCTGTTTATACCCCTGGTGGCTCTGCGCAGGGCATAATCATTGCCTCTGTTCCAGCTGGGCTGAGAGCCTCAGAGCACCTCGGTTCATACTCTCTTTCGATTCAGAGAAATACCCTTTTTTGTAGTGTGGTTACCCAGACTCTCCGAATGGGGAACAGGCCCTGCTCTGAAGCAGGGGCGTTGCGGATCAGTTTTACTCTTTACTGAAGCCCGCCTTGCAGCACAGGGCGAAACTGAACGGGAGCCCATCGGTAAAAATAAAGCGACAGCTAATAATGAGACTTCGAAAGGCAGGACCGCTCGTCAGCAGACCCTCTGTGTACGAGGGCGGATTTCACACTCCGCCTGGCTTGGGGGCGTTTCGGGGGTCCTCTTGTATGGTCTCAGAGGACTAGTCAAGTGCTGCTGCTTCACCTCCTCTAGAACAGTTCTCCTCTCGAACTCCTCTAGCCCCCCGATACAGCTGAGGAGATGTGTCCGTCTTGTTCCTGTAGGTTACAGCCCGGCCCATGCTGCTGGATCCCCCTGAGAATGGACCGGGCCAGGTCTGCGGTGGTGTACCGTTTGTATCACCACGGGTCTCTTTTTGGATCCTTTGTTCTTTAATAACTGGGAAAGGGCAGTATCAGCTGTAATCACCAGGCGAAACAGCTTGGACTCTTATCTGTGTCCGTTAGCCTACTGGAGTGATTTCCGTACTCTCTCGATTAGTTAGTAGAAAAGAACTCCGGTCCAGTTAAGCTCAATTCCACAGACAACGCCCTTTCACGCGTCCATCGTCGGGCCCTCTCGCTGACAGCCAGCAGCACCCCTCACTCCTCCTCCCGGCACCAGCACTGGGCAGAAGAGCCCAGCTTCTCCTCCGGCCACGAGGAAGTCCAGCTGGAGAGAAGCTGAGGATTTCAGAGGCCCTAATGGGGGGTTTTTTTTCTCCCGTTTTTTTTTCCTCCAGTCTTTTGGCACGGTTGCTTTTGACTGATGGGATGGTAGAAGCCTTCATAAATATTTCACAGGGGCGCATGAAGCCTTGTGGAATTCTGTATGAAATATCATCCCAGCTGAAACTGCACTGGGACCTCTTCTGTTACGAAGAACAGCGTAGGGTACTCCACATATCGGCTGGATGTAAATGTGCCTGGGCTGACTAGAAGAATTCAGCAGGAGTGTAATATAATCTTTATTTCCACTGCCCTGGAGTCAGTCTACGAGGGGCTTCGCTAGCTCTTTCTTATCTCGATTACATTTTTATTGCTCTGCGCTGTTACTCATTCCCCTCCCCCATATAAAACCACTTGTTTCCACCTGAAGGGTTTCGGCGATCTAAAAGATCTGCTTGGCGCCCGCTGGTGATTATTCATGAGAGCCCAGCTGCGCCGGCGGTCAGCGATCCACACAGCCCGGGGCGAATTCCGAAGCGCTGGGTCTGTGCAGCTTTCGACTTCTTAAAGACACTTAGGAACAACAGCGACAGAGGAGGAAATCTTGTTTTTCCTGTTCTGTCAATCTTAAAAGGTTAATGCCAGGGCCCTTTGTCATTATTTTGCTCGTATTCCTGCCGGGGAAGATACAGTACCAGCCTCCAACACAGAGCCTTTGACATTTAGCATTAGAAACCGGCGCGCCGGTTCCACACTGCAACAGGTCTGCTCTAGAGATGTGACGTTTCTGCTGCCCAAAATACGCTACAGCAATACAGAGTGCTGAAACAGTGCTGGGAACAGTTCCCTTTAAAAAGTAATCCATGACAGCTACAAGTTATTTGGGTAAGGGATTACTTTTGACAATGAACAAGACGGAGTGTGAACACATTCTTAAAAAGGAACAAGTAATAGGTTTATTCCATGCTGAAAAAAGCATGGAATTTTTTCAGCATGGAATAAACCTATTACTTGTTCCTTTGCAGCCTACGCATGCTGACGCAGCTACCCACCTGAACTACATTCTTAAAAAGGCATCTCAGTGATCAAAGAAGCGTGTGTAGAGCAACAGTTCAAAGTAACAAATTACCACTTAACAGAAATGCCCCCTGATTGCTTACGAATTGGAAAGAGCAACGCCTTCTGCAAATAAGCAGAAAAAAAAAGAAAACGGATTGCTTTTTTAGAGGTGACTGCCTGGCGCTTGCTTGATGTCTCTTCCAGGCTCAGAAAGGTGACACCTCAGTCCTTCTCGCCGAAGGTGGCGGGAGTAAAGGCATGGAAACGTGTAGTTTAGCTCCAGTGCGTGGAGGTGAGCCGCGGTATCGGCGCTGCTCTCAGGACCTGTCCGACCCACATCCCGGATTGAACAGCCTGAGCCAGAACTTTAATGGGGGCGTCTAACATACAACCCGGATTTGCTTGCCCTGATCTGAGGCTGCCCAAGTCGGTGTGATCATCGTTAAGAGTTGTTGTTGTTGTTGTTGTTTTAATACAATAGTAACGAAAGGAGAACATTGCGCCGAGCTTCGCGCTGGAACACTTCGCCAGAGCGCCGCAGTTCCCTGTTGTGATCCCACAGCTCCCCCTTGTGGCGGAGAACGGTCCCTGTCCGCCCCGTCGAGTCTCCGGGCCCATCCTGAACTGCGAGTCTAACTAGGCGCCTTTATAGCAGACGGCGTCGAAGCAACTCCGGTCCGTAGCGGAAATGGAAGAAGACGACGAAAGCCTTTAACAACACATAGTTCAGCTGCCTTCATTTTCGTACAAACCCAATTCTACAAAGGAATCATAGAAAAAAAAACGATGCAAATCTACAACACAAACAGCAAGAGAGGATTTAGTAGACAGGGGGCCCAATAATGCATTGTTTCTTCAGTGCTGGATATTTCCTCTTACAGCCCCCAGTGCTGCAAAAGTAGAAGTTAAAGTTCTACAGTGCAAAAGCTGCAAGTCACAAAAGTGAAACCAAAACAAAGCCCACACAGTCCCTGCTCGGTCGTCTGTCGAAGATAGCACGGAACAGCACCGGCAAATGTGTTTTTTTTTTGTTGAAAGAAGGTCGTGTTGGAGATGATGTCTTCCTTCTGAACGCGTATCCGGTTTCTGCAGTCCCAGCCAGGGCAGTGTTTCGCTGTGGCGCGCACGGCCACGAGCACGGTGATCAATACCTCAGCGAGGGGGGGTCTGGAGCCCCCGGCCGCCAGCCTCGGGGGTCTTTGACCGCTGCCGGGCGATGGCTGTGGCTGAGCACCGCAGCACCGCAGAAGGCCGTAAAACCCGTGATGAGCTGCCCAGCAAAGTGATGGAGGGAGCTCTTATCTCGGAAGCCAGCGGAGAGGTCAGATCACAGCTCTCCCTGCCCCCTCTCTCCCAGCGCTCCCCCGCCCGCCCCGACAGCCTCAGGCTGCTAACGGCTGGACTGTCCGTGCTTGTCCCGGCAGCTCTCGCACCCAGGATCTGGGACGCCGGGGCTGAAGCCCGCAGACGGAGACAGAGCGGGGAGAGAAGCGATTTCGATTTATACTAGCTTTATTTTCTTTTCACGAATAAGTACAGAGAATCACACAAGAGAAAACCTCACATTAATATACAGTACATATACACATGCACCTAAACAGTATACTGTAGATGGACACATCTCGTTACATAACAATAATTACTCTTGGAACAAGTAAAAGGCTTATTCCAGCTGGGAAGGGAAGAAAGGAAACAACTTCCCGGCTGTGGACGTCAGCCGAAACCATGTGTTTCTTTTCTTCTCTTCTCGGATGAAATAAACCTTTTACTCGTTTTTTTTTTTTTGCAGCCTACGCATGCTGAAGCAGCTCCCTACTTGAACATAATTACTCTTGTTCAGGTGCATTTTTCCAAGTCCTGCTGGATCACGAGCAAAACTGGACACATCCTGTTTTTCCTTTCACATTATAATCA